ATGCTATCAATAGGTTAATGCTATCAAGAGGTTAATGCTATCAATAGGTTAAGGTTATCAAGAGGTTAAGGCTATCAAGAGGTTAAGGCCATCACGAGGTTAAGGCCATCAAGAGGTTAATGCTATCAATAGGTTAATGCTATCAATAGGTTAAAGCTACCAAGAGGTTAATGCTATCAATAGGTTAAGGTTATCAAGAGGTTAAGGCTATCAAGAGGTTAAGGCCATCAAGAGGTTAAGGCCATCAAGAGGTTAATGCTATCAAGAGGTTAATGCTATCAATAGGTTAATGCTATCAATAGGTTAATGCTATCAAGAGGTTAATGCTATCAAGAGGTTAATGCTATCAATAGGTTAATGCTATCAAGAGGTTAATGCTATCAATAGGTTAATGCTATCAAGAGATGAATGCTATCAAGAGATGAAGGCTATCAAGAGGTTAAGGCTATCAAGAGGTTAATGCTATCAAGAGGTTAATGCTATCAATAGGTTAATGCTATCAATAGGTTAATGCTATCAAGAGGTTAATGCTATCAAGAGATGAATGCTATCAAGAGATGAAGGCTATCAAGAGGTTAAGGCTATCAAGATGTTAAGGCCATCAAGAGGTTAACGCTATTCAAATTCCAGAGATTAACCCTATCGAGAAGTTAACACCACGCACTTCAATTTAAGTTAAACTTCAGGCATGTTTTTTTGTTTGTTTTTTTGTTGTTGTGTTTTTTAAAGTATAATGTTATGTTTTGACAAGTTGAACCCACGCGTTCAGTCGGTCACTTCATCAGGTTTGACACGACGAGTCACAACACAAAATGAACGAGAGACGCATGTTGTTAAGGGTCGGTCACGTATCAAGAGACACTTTATTATTATTATTATTATGTTTTAAATCTATTTTTTTTTTTTTTAAAGGATGCGTTTTCATTTAAGGTCAAATGTCTGGCACAAAATGATACGAAGTTTCAGAAGTCGTTCATATCGTGCACGGGATCCCCCCCCCCCCCCCATCTCCATTTCAAAACAGAGTTCCTGCCCCCTTACACGAACAATGCAAATTAACCTAATTTTAATAACTATAATAACACTATTTAAAAAAAAACTCATATCACAGTAATCGAGGCAGTTTGGTCCGAATGAAGGATCTACAAATTCATTTGTTCCCCAAACTTATTAAGATTTATTAATGAGATCTGATTTCTTCTGAATTTTGTTTTTCCCCTCGGAAAATGTGTGAATTTTTTTCCTGTGACGTTTTTCCCCACTCACCTACCTTTATGGGACTTCCCGCACCCTTGGACCCTGCCTACCGTGATTAAGAACCCCTGCAGTTCAATTTCGACATATTTACACAAGTAAAATGCGTCTACTTTCTGATGGCCATGAATTTTCAACAAACCCGTTCTTGAGGCACTCAAAGGACCATTCGCTTTGAGTTATGGTTTAGATAAGCGGCTGTGGTACGCGTAGCCCTGGGTGAAAGAAACAAAATGGGGGCGTGGGGCTGTACTGTAATCATAAATAAAAAAAAATCTATTCAAGGGCTTAAGGAGGGGGGAAATTTGAAAACACAAGTGTGTCGCATTATAACCCCAACTCATATCCGTCATTCGTTATTTGCTCTAGCCGACCCTCATCACTGCTAACTAGGAGAGCTACGTTACACCGGTAGGAGTCTCGGCTGCAAAGAGTGGTCCATCTTGAACAAACGATAGGTTATATTGAGGGAACTGCGTTCATACCGTGTGGATTAAATAGTTGAACATAATATGTTCAGGATTGAAACAAATGACATTGCGCAGGTGGGATCTCACGACCACTCGATGGAGACTCTGTCACCCAGACACTCAGTGGAGACTTGTCACCCAGAAACTCGGTGGAGACTTGTCACCCAGACACTCAGTGGAGACTTGTCACCCAGACACTCAGTGGAGACTTGTCACCCAGACACTCAGTGGAGACTTGTCACCCAGAAACTCGGTGGAGACTTGTCACCCAGACACTTGGTGGAGACTTGTCACCCAGACACTCGGTGGATACTTGTCACCCAGACACTCAGGTGGAGACTTGTCACCCAGACACTCGTTTGAGACTTGTCACCCAGACACTCGGTGGAGACTCTCTCGCCCAGACACCGGTAGGGACACATTCTGCTATCCATACACCGGTAGGGACACATTTCTGCCACCCAGACACCGGTATGGACACATTTCTGCCACCCAGACACCGGTAGGGACACATTGTTCATATGAAGATATGGTGCCGAACAGCTGAATAAATTTATTTTCCATTTAAACCTTCTCTGGTGTGTTAGTGCAGGAAATCAGTGCCGTAATGGTGCGTTCCGCATTGCAGGAGTTGCCGTAGATTTCATCCGTACTTAACTGATAATACTTAGGAGAGAAGCTCTCCTTCGTTTTGACTGGAATTCAAAAGCTTTGCTGCGGATTCAGGGATAAATTACCGGGGTTTCAAATAACAAGGGAGATAAAAGTAGAGAGGCGTTAATTATTGTCCAGATAGATGTTAAGTTATTCCTGTATCAACTCCCCAAGTCCGCCAACCGTGTGAAGATCACCAGACAAGAGTTAAAAATTAGCCTTACGATTATTATTGTATAATAAAAGAGAGATAAACGTTAAAACTTTTGTAAAATATTTTCTTCCAAAGTTAATTCCCTTGATACGACAAGAAACAATACGATCACCGCGTCTTATACTTGACATTCATTGGACATGGTTGTTGATCTTTTTTTCTTTTAAACAAGACATTCTGAAATTGTCCATTTTGGAATTTAATTCAAATTAGAGACCGACCGAAAGTGATTTTCTGATTTCGGCCGAAGCCGAAAATAGGCCGAAAGTTTAAAATGACTTTCCGCCGAAACCGAAAAAAGGCCGAAAGTTTAAAAATGACTTTCGGCCGAAACCGAA